TAGTTTGATACTTTTTTTCCTTATACTTTGTGTGTGCTTCAGTGTGTGTTCTTTTATTGTTTCTTTTAATTTTCTAGAATTCTTCCTTTATTTTTATTGGTTGATCATGTAAAGTCCAATGTGTTCTCTCTTCTATCCTTATAATTTTAATTCACTGCTAAAAACAATACAGCCTGGAAACATGTCCAATATTAGTAATCACAATAGGCATAAATGAACTGGATTATCATGAAAAGATGAAAATGGTCAGGTTCAACAACAAAAAAATCTCTTAAATGTTCAATGAATTGCAAAAAATTATTTTATAGTGTCTAATATCTTATTATAACTGCAGTAAAATCAAACATTAATGATGAAATATAAATGAAAGAAGCCAATACATTTGGAAATATAAAAACACAGTTAAAAATGTTTTCTATGTAAAGAAAAAGAAAAGCCATGATGGAAATTATAAAATAGCTTCAATTGGACAATAAACAGAATATTGTTAATTAAACCTTATATACAACTATTATAATAATGGCTTTGGAATTTAACTATGGATAGGTACATAATAAAAACAAAATAGAAATCAGAAACAGATCCATACCCATATGGATACTGTATATATTATAGAAATGCCATTGCATATGTATAGGGAAAAAATGAACCAGTCAATAAATGATGCTGATAAAGCTAGTTTTCTATTATTAGAAAAAAAAGTTGGACCTTGATCTCATATCATATACAATATTACAAGATGGATTTAAGGTCTTCATGTAAAAGGCAGAGCTTTTATATCCATTGAAGAAACATGGGAATATGTTTATGATATTTTGGATATCTTTAGTGTGATTCTTGTTAAGTTGTATATTCTTTAAGAAAGTGTTAGTATAGAAACCATATAAATAATTATCATAACTTTGTAAGAAAATGACAGACAACCTAAAAGGAAACTGAGTAGATTAAGTGAACAGACAATTTGTAGAGGAGAAAACTAGAATTTTTAACAAACATGAACATATATTATTTGTTACTAATTAACAGAGAAATCCACATGATTACACCATGACCCCTCTCACACTAATCATGTCTAAAATGAAATATTCTGTCTCTACCAAGTTGTACATAAAGAAGAACATTTATCTACTTCTAGTGAGAATGTAAATTTGCACACCACTTAGGATTTCAATTGAAAAACATCTTGTTATTTTGAAGATGCATATACATGAAATTCCAGTAATCTTACTTATAGATTTAGTCTAGGGCAGTGTCAGCATACTACAGCCTGTGGGGAAAAAAGGCTGTCAGCTGCCTATATTTGTAAACAGTTTTATTGGAACATAGCCATGCTCATTCATTTATGCAATCTATGGTTGCTTTCACATTGCAGTGGCAGAGTTGGATAGTTGTGATACTAACCATATGGCCCACAAATTCTAAAATGTTTATTGACTAACCCTTAATGGAAAAACTTTGCTGACCTCTTGTCTAGAGTAACTCTTCTTATACCTTTGTATTACAAGTGTTGAACAAGAATGTTTGTAGCAATATTGCTTGTGACAGTGACAAGTTAGAAATAAGAAAAAAAGGATAAGGAAAAATGACGATGATATTGTGAAGTTTGTCTTCCAATATAATGCTATAAAGCAGTGAAAATAAATCAGAGGGCTAGATATATTGCCATGAGTAAATCTCAGCAAAGTAGCTAAAAGATGCAAGTGTCAGAAAAATATAGAAGGCAATATACAAGGTATGATATACATGTATATCAATGTTTATAATGTGACTCTCTCTCTCTCTCTCTCTCTCTATATATATATATACACACACACACACACACACACACACACAAAATGTGAAAGTACATGTATGGGAATGTTATACACTAAACTTAAGATACTTATTTCCTTGGGGGCAAGGGGACTGTGATTGAGAAGGGATAAACAGAAGAGGAAGGGCTTCAATAATATTTGTGATGACATTTCTGCTAGGTGATGGTTACAAGTTGTTTGTAATATTCTTTACACTCTTGTGTATGTCTGAGAAACAAAAAGAAAATAAGCACAAATGAAAGCCGTGGTTCCTTTCTTGAGGATTTATAAACTGTTTGGGAGGCAGAGAAGCAAATGTATAATTGCAACAGATGATGTTGAAAGAATGAAGAGCCCTATAGAAATACAAAGAGAACTGGCTATGTTTTTTTTGCAGAACTGGCTATGTTTTTTGCAGGTGTTCAAGGGTCTGAGGCAGGTGGAGAACTTGCTCTATTTGAGGAACGGCAAGGAGTGGGGATTGTTGCAGTTGCCTAGAGCATAACATGAGTTTGCATGGTGAGGGTGGGAGAAAAGGACTCAAACTATGTTAGATAGATTGGCAGGGCACACCTTGGGACACTGTGAGCCCTCAAAGATGAATAATAATTCTGGAAAGAATTTTTAAGAAACTTAAATAATTCTACAAGTAAAAGCAAACAACCTCATTAAAAAGTGGGCAAAAGACATGAACAGACACTGCTCAAAAGAAGACATACAAGCAGCCAACAAACAGATGAAAAAATGCTTCACATCACCAATCATCAGAGAAACGGAAATCAAAACCACAATGAGATACTATCTTATATCAGTCATAATGGCCATTATTAAAATGTTAGAAAAAACAAACAAACAAACAGATGCAGACTAAAGTGAATACTTACACACTGTTGTTGGGAATGTAAATTAGTTCAGCCACTGTTGAAAGCAGTCTGGAGATTTCTCAAAGAACTTGAAACAGACCCACCATGCAACCCAGCAATCCCATTACTGGTTATATATCTCAAAAGAAAATGAATCGTTTTACCAAAGAGACAGATGCATGCATATGTTCATTGCAGCACTATTCACGATAGCAAAGACATGGAATTAATTTAGATGCCCATCAGTGACAGATTGGATAAAGAAAATTTGGTTCATGTACATTATGGGATGTTAGGAAGCCTTAAAAGAGAACAAAATCATAGCTTTGCAGCAACATGGATGCAGCTGGAAGCCATTATACTAAGTAAATCGATGCAGTAACAGAAAACCAAATAAAGCGTGTTCTCACTTTAAGTGGGAGCTAAACGTTGGGTACTCATGGACATAAAGATGACAGCAATAGACACTGGGGACTAGAGCAGGGAGAGAGGGAGGAGGACAAGGGTTGGAAAATTAACTATTGGGTAATATGCTAACTCTCTGGATGACAGTGTCCCAAACTTCAGCATCACACAATATACTCATGAAACAAACCTGCACATATGCCCCCATATCTAAAATAAAAGTTGAAGTTTTGAAAAACAAAAATAAATTAGTAAAATATGTCATTAAAAATGTAAAAAAAAAAATCACCTGCAACTTCCTGTTTGTAAACTTTAAGTATTTCCTGTGTGGTTGACCTCCAGGAAATGACTGTTATATCAACAACTTCTGAAACAGATAAAACATACCCTCATCTTACAGAAATGAAATATAGAATTTGAAGTCTTATAAAAAGTTTTAAAATTCATTAATTTTGCCTGGAAAAGTAAGCAAGAATCATATGTAGTCACGTTAGGCTAGTATTTGAGGAATCCCAGCTAAAAAAAAATACTACATGAAACTTAGAGTGCAAAGACTCATTTCTTTGTTCATTATTTTTTAATTTTAGAGTTCCATTTAATGTTTAGAGTTAAACGTTAAAAAATATAACTAGATGATAGTGAGTGTGGATAAGGTTATGGAATATTCCTTTAAGGATTAACAGCCCAGAACCTCTGTTCATTTCCTACTCACATGCCATTACCTAGGATTTTCACTTGTTAGTATCATCACAGTTTCAAGTTTTGAGGGATCACTGGGATTCATGTATTTGATTCAGATTTGTACAAATGATTTTCTGTTTTATAAGTATATGGCCTTTTTAATCTGTTCTTTTCTGCAAACATTAATTTAGTAAAATTGGCATCACTGCATTGTTTATTTTCAAACATGTAATGACTATGGTTTTGTGCTCAAAGGACAGTTTCTGAACTTCCAATCTCAGGTGTGTAATTGAACATTTTAATTATTTATAGCATGTTTACACGAACATATATTGACAAAAAAATTAACATCCAGTGGATTGTAAATAGTATTTACAATCGTGCATTGTGTATCTCATTTAAAATGTATACATTACCTTAAGAAAGATAGGGTAAAGATAGAGACAGAGGTAAGGAGAGAGAGAGAGAAAGAGAGTTTCACCTAAGTTAAAATTTGGAGAAAAATAATAGAGGACCTGATCACTAGTGGGTCTGTAACAATATTTTAAAGTACATTTTAATATGAGGGAGTTTCCCTGCAAGATAGTCATAATTGAAGTATTCTAAAAACTTGTAAGGTGCTTGTATTACAACTAATTTCGTAAATAAACTTTATTGAAATTATCTCCTAAGACAGTCTTGCTAACATTATCATGTTCTCACCATTTTTTAGGATTAAAAAATAAATATGATAGTTTACAGTTTCTTTGGCAACAGGAGATGATGATTCATACAGATCTGACAATGTGCTTAAGTGTAGTGGGTTTTTTTTTTCTTTTTAATTTTAAAAAATGTTGTTTATTTATTTATTTATTTATTTGCTACTGGGAAAGCTGCCTACTCATTTTTTCTTGAAATAGGCTATTAAAATAAATCAACCAGACCCTGCCCAAGCTTATCCCCTCTCCAAGCAGTTCTAAACTACAGGATGCAGTGGAGCAGTTTGACTGAGACCTTGTTCAACTAAAAGAGGCCAAAGTGATATTTTTTCTTTTCAGAGGATTGTATAGCTAATAGTATACACAGACATACTTTATCCCATAGTATGTGGCAACATGTATTGATAAGACAAAGGAGTAATTTTTCTGATTAAAAATGTTTTTCTTTCAATATAGCTCGCTCTCCGTTTAAATTAATTAGAATTATTTTGTTCAAATTTTGTAGTGTCTTGTGTGTACAACATTTACTATTTTCAAAGAAATTATATTTTTTATTTCAGGAATATACAATTGATGTTTTCTTTCGACAAAAATGGAAAGATGAACGTTTAAAATTTAAAGGTCCTATGAACATCCTTCGACTGAACAATTTAATGGCTAGCAAAATCTGGACTCCAGATACTTTTTTTCACAATGGGAAAAAATCAGTAGCTCATAATATGACAATGCCAAATAAGTTGCTTCGAATTCAGGATGATGGGACTCTACTGTATACAATGAGGTATGTTTTTAGATTTGATGTGATGCATTTATATACTAAGAATTTTTCGTGTATTAAACAACCAGTCAATCTAGCTGCCAGGTATTAGCAAAAGTTGAGTGTTTTCTACCAGATTATTGAAGTACCCATAATATGTTTTGCAAATGTTTTGATTTAAAAAAACTATATAAAATAGCATTTGTGAGTTTGAGTCTCATCTTAGTTCTTTAAATGTTAAGAATTGCCTTTATTATTATGAATTGATGTTTTGGTTATTCTTCACATGATGTTTTTAATAAGTACAGCTTTAGTAATATGACTTGAATTTTATTTGTATCAACATACAGTTTTAATATCTTATCAGATATCCCATCAAAATTTTTGTTATTTCAAAGTAAGACTTTATTTATTTATTTATTCATTTATTTATTTATTGAGACGGAGACTTGCTCTATCGCCCAAGCTAGAGTGCAGTGGTGCAATCTTGACCCACTTCAACCTCCGCTTCCCAGGTTGTAGCGATTCTCCTGTCTCAGCCTCCCAAATAGCTGATATTATAGGCATGTGTCACAACGCCATGCTAATTTTTGTATTTTTAGTAGAGACAGTGTTTCTCCATGTTAGCCAGACTGGCCCCGAATGCCTGGCCTTAAGTGATCCAACCACCTCGGCATCCCGAAGTGTTGGGATTACAGGCGTGAGCCTCCGTGCCCAGGCTAATTTAATATTTTAATTTTCCTTATGAAGTTACTCCAAAGAAAAAATAACTATTTTAAATTCAGAGAGAAAGCTTTATTTAATAAGGTTTACAAGTATATTGGATACCATAAACATGTACTAGATTGAACCATATGAAATTGCCATTTTGTAATTCAAAAAGTATCCTATAGCATTGTTTATATGATTTAAACTTTAATAAAATTTTCTTGCAGAATAGTTGTTGATCCTAAAACCTATTACATCTTAAGCATATTCATGAATTAATTTTGTAAAATAAGTTACTTGTATTATATAAGAAAAAAATCACAAATCTAGTAAGATTATGTGGAATCTAAAGCTAAAATGTTTCATAAAAGATTTAAAACAGACATCTGACATCAGCGTTATATATAGACAGAAACATGTATTCCAGTTATTTGATGTGTTGTTATTTCATAAGTGCTAGATTTCGGTTATGAAAGTTATTTAAAACGGGACAACAATACAGTCCTATGCTATTTCTGATCTTCAAAGAAAAATTTCTGGAGGACTCATTACTAAATTGTTCATTGCCTAAATGGAAGTGCTAGTTAGTCTTTCTGCCTCTGTTTCTCTCTCTGGATCTTGCAATGTATTCAGATGCAATGCCCCTGTGGACTTTGTACATTGATCATTTCTATGAACGAAAGCAATGAATAAAACTTTAGGGTTTAAATAAAATGCAGGCACAGGACACATAGAACTTTGGAATATATTGTCTAAGGTTCTATTTAAACATTCTCTTAGAATTTAAGCCATAACGAATTGTGGTCATATTTGTTTTGCTAATTATAACAGATTTCTCTATAAATTTTATTTAGTACCTGCTATATTCACTTTGTCTTTACATGAAATGGAATAATTGAAAGTTTGCATTATATCATATTTTCTATGACTACTCTTTGTTGCAATCATGTAGATACAGAAAAATATATATTTAACATTCGTAATTTGTGTTTATAATTTATCCAACAATCTAAACTTGATAAAGTTATTTCTAGGAAATGCATCTGTGTATGTATTTATATCTAGAATTATGTGTATAACTGTGAATATATATGCAGTATACAGTATTAATTCAGAATTCATATATGTTGAAGGGAGCTCCTCTGAACTAATATTGAATCCTTTGATCAATTTTACTATATGTTTGTTGATGAGATAATGGAGACAATAGCATTCTTTTAATGATAGAGTATTTTTTGTCCTTAAGATTTCAAGTGTTAATCATGAGCTTAATGAGAAAAGAGCCCTTCAAAATGAATATGTAATTTCTTCAGTTCTTAAGAAACTAAAATGGCTAAAGTATATTTTTAATTATTATTTTCATTTATACTAATAATTTGTATATGTCAATGTCTTCTGAGGGATCACCTAAACATGAATGAACAAAAGATTATTTAAATATTAATGAGCCTAATAAAATGCTGTGATGAAGACTCTACCTCTATCGAGTCTGTTGACAGTAATGACGAGTGATTTTTCTTGACTTACCAATATACTTAAACAAATGGTGGAATTTTGACTTTTAGGCTTACAGTTCAAGCTGAATGCCCAATGCACTTGGAGGATTTCCCAATGGATGCTCATTCATGTCCTCTGAAATTTGGCAGTTGTAAGTACAGGGATGAAGGTACATGTTTTGGGTCAATAATATCAGGGAAATTCAGCAGCACTGCTTAATTGTCTAGTTTTTTTTTTTCTCAAATTATGAGATGATTAACAATTGTCAATAAGATATGGAAGTAAAAGCCATGCTAATTTTCCTTAAGGAACATCTCTGAAATATTATTATAATTTAATCACGGTGTTAAACAATTATAACCTATTTTTACTGCTAATAAAAAATATCATGTGTTTTAGTACATGTGTAAAATTAGACCAGGAGTTCCTTGAAGTTTAGGACTGTAATTTACCTTCTTTTCCAAGTGCTAGAACATTAAAAACTCAAATGTTACTTTTTTATCAACTAAGAATGAACTGGAAAGTATAGATTCTGTTGTTTATTAAAGTGGAAATCAGCCTGTTGCAAATGACATGCACAGAAGCTTAGTCTGTGTCATTGTCTTCTACTGTAACTAATGGAAGGATTTCTTTTTTTATTTCTTAAATTAAAGGAGATAATGTAGCTGCATTGCTACATTCTGGCACCTTCTATGTACATAGGACATTTCAGAAAAGGTTTTGTGCAGTTAGCTCTTCTTTAGGTCAGAGGGGTTATATCTTGTATGTCGAGAAGATGCATTCATACTTCCAGAATAATTGAAAAAGCAGAAGGTCAAATCATCTCCCTAGTCCCACATGACATTCTGGATAGGTTCAGCATAAATCCATGAACACAGCTGAGCAGCCTCTCTCTTGTGTGAGGGTGTCCTATTGCCTGACCTTTTTAGAGAATGATCTTTCTGGCACCCTCATCTTTGTCCCTTCTGAATACCTTTTGACTTTTTCTTCATTGTTGAATAGAAATACAGTACTCCCACCTGATTAAAACTATGTATCACTGAATAGTGTGCCTTCTCATAAACTGTATTAAGCAAAAGAAAATGGAAGAATGGTGGCTCATATGAATGCAAAACTCTCTAATTATTTTGATGATCCTACTTCTGTGGTACAAGAATTGAAATCTTGTTTGTTCTTACAAAAGGAGTCAGTTCTCAATTTTCTTTGAGAATCTCCTCTTTATTTAACTACAAAGTCTTCTTTTATTGTCATGGAAACCATAACTTCAGTACTGGCATTTCTTCCAACATTATTTAATATAGTCAATCATGTTGTACTATGTAAACATGATGCTGAGAAAACCACAGCAGATGCAGCAGAGAAAGAGTTATTTCCATTACATAAGTGGCATTATAGAAAAAACTGAAAAGCCTTGATACCAAAGAAGAGATTAATTCAAGATGTAATCATGCTGTAAGAAGGACTTTTTTTTTTTCTTTTAGTCTACAAGCTATTGTTATTAAGTCATCAAATATAAGTGATGTGATGGATGTCCCAATTCTGAAAATGAAATAAGTACACTTGAAAATATTTAAATAATATTTAAAAATCTCTTATACTGCATCCATGGAGTGCAGAAATATCTCATGCTTGAGAATATAGTTTTCTGTACCCAGAAGGAGCTATGAGCAACAAATAAAGTTTGCTGCTAGGCATTTTTTGTTTAAGTAATTAGCACTAATTTTGTTTTCTTCACATTTATTTTCTGACACACTGAATAAACAATTTTATGTTATTTTATTGTCTTTGCCTGTAGTAGGTGCTTGATGCATAAGTATTAAAAGTATGGACACCAGTGTGGAATAATATACAAGGCAAGCCAAAGCTGACAATGTTGGCATAACAAAGTTTGGCAGAAGCAGCTGTGAATTTTTCTTTTATTCATTTATTCCTTCTTTACTTGAAAGCCCTCTTCTTCCCTACCCCCACTCCACAAAAAGGTTGGATTTCAGGAACTTCGTCATTGTCCTCAATCAAAAGAAACATTTTTTTCTGTGTGCTTACAATTTTAAATTCAGTCCTGTTTTGTTTTATTCCTAGTGCTGCACATCTTTGAATTTTTCCTTGTTGTTTAACTTGATTTTAGAATTTCTGAATGAAAGTCTAGGGATAATCTATTCATTAAACCAAAAGAAGCTGTAAATTGTCTTTCAGATTAAAAACTGATAGGTAAAAATATTTTTGAAATATTTTTCCTGGTTACCAAATATTAAGAATCAGTTGGTATACATCTGCTTAATGCAACATAGGACTCAAAAATGGGTTAATTAACACAAACAAGATTATTTAATGATACCTTAATTTAGAAGTGGAATTCCTAATGAATTTTGTAAAACTGTCTTTCTCTCCTTTGATACTTTACTGAGAAACATTATTATGACCTCTTGGCTTATATGTGTGTTGACGTATATAACTCCCTTTTTTCGGGAGAGGCTTTAATCTGCACTGCATACATTTCTGCTGCATTATTTTCACCATACACAGAATCTCAAAACTATATTCTTATCTAACTAATGAAGTGCAGTAGCTGCTTTTTCAAAAGACATATGAAGAATCAGTCACTTTCCTTAATAAACTCTTGAGCTCTTCTCTAGAGTTCCCTCTTCCATAGCAGTAAAGAACATAGTTAAAATATTATGACTTAATTTATTAATCTAGTGAGAGTGAATTGAGACTCTTTCTTCTGTGTGTCAGGCACTGTACCCGGTCCTGGAGGTACAGGCATGAATCAGAGTTGCTGCCTATCAGAATCCCATTAGTGCCTTTAAAATGTCATCTCTTTTATAGGGTTTCATTTTTTCTTATTTATGTTTGAAAGAAACATTATAATTCAAAAGTGATGTCGTTCTACTTAAAAAAAAACTTCATAATTTATGGACAACTACAGAGTATTCTGAGGCCCTTCCAATGTAAAGTAGATCATTTGATGCCTCTTTTTGTTAAATTCTGTGCCATTTAAAATTTTACTGGAGAGTCAGAATATGTATTCATGGGGGAAACAAAACAAGCCACTTGATCTACAAATAAGTTGCTAGTTATTCACATTAGTAATGTTGCTGCTTAATTTTCTCAGTGTAATCAATCATTAATGATTAATGAATTGAAATTAATTAGAAAACTAAACCTTAGAATAATTAAAATTCATTCATATCAAATCATATGAACATTTCTCTGCTATTAAAAGTATATACATATATATACATTTTTAGAATCCTATTTCAAAAATTGCTTCACATAATATAATTTAATTGTGAATGTAGGTGACTATATATGTAGTGGTAATGGTGTTTCACTGATACTGACATTTAGTAGCAACATTCAGAAAACCAGACAACATTGCCATTAGACAATGCCAAGTATGTCATTAGAAAACACAAACTCATAATCATTTACTCTATTGTTACTGATGGTTGAGTGGAAATTGATTTGCAGTCACAGACTTTACATCAATTTCAGAACCAGAGTCACCACAGTATGGTGCTATTAAAGTTAGGAAAATTATAGATTGCAGAGAATGAGATTTCCAGTGTCCTACAGAGCTGGAGGTAGAACTATTGCCAGAGACAACTGGCCCTTTCTGTCCCTTAATTGGTAATGTGACTGTAATGTTGAATTTTGCTCAAGAACTAGGGGTAACTATACTTCTAAACATTCTCATGAGTAAAAGTGCATAGAAGTTCTTCAGAAAGTCAGTAGTATAGAAAGAATTACCTGTTATTCAACCGTGGGGGGACTCTGCCTACATGGAGAGGTTATCTGTTCCGCAGTGGTGCATAGAGAGGTAAGAAAATGCCACTGCCAGGGAAAGGCTAAGACCAGATATGTTGCCTGCATGCCAGGTCTGAAGTCATCTTACTTCTGCTAAGTTCTTCATCCGATAAATCAGGAAGTTATGTCTGATCTGGTTGCATTTTTTTCCTCTTCCTGCCAATCCATAGTTAAAGTGGGATACTATGAATGTGTAGTCTAGGATATCTGTGTGCATTAATTCATTTTAAAATGAGCATGATTTTAAAAGGATTTGCAACTTGATGCAAGTATAGCATTATTATTTGTCTTACATGTTTTATAATAATTACTTTTTATTCTAATGAAATGCATTGTATCATGATAGCTAACTCATTTAACTCTTAACTAGGATACATTTATGTCCAAACAATATAATTTTGAATTATGATTTTTATCTTATGTGTGATTGCTATTTATAAATAAGCTAAACAGCTTATTTTACCACAGTGTCTTCATATGCTACCTTTGGCCTAAAGGAGATGTTCTAATCATCTCAGGGCCCAGGAATTGTAATAGACTCTAACAAGAAATTTGCTCTTCACCTTTCAAAGTGGTTGCAATAAATATACTGTCAGGGTCGTGATCATCTCTTTTGGTCCACTTCATAACCCTCATACTGAAGTAAATTCAAATGAGACATTTTTGCCCTAAATGTGACATTTAAGTATTAGTATTGAAAGTATATAGTGACTGTATGATATACACAACCATTCGTGTAGCACTAGATTGATGGTTCTTATGAAAATGCTTAAAATATTTTTTTTCCAATTTCCTATAGATGCATATACAACTTCAGAGGTCACTTATATTTGGACTTACAATGCATCTGATTCAGTACAGGTTGCTCCTGATGGCTCTAGGTTAAATCAATATGATCTGCTGGGCCAATCAATTGGAAAGGAGACAATTAAATCCAGTACAGGTTAGTAAAATTCTTCTTAAAAAAAAAACTGGTGCTTAAGAATATTGATAGGTTAAAGGACTTAGAAGTGTGTCAGATTGCTTAAAATCTTTTGCTCTTGGAGGCCAAAGAACTAGCAGCGTAGGCTGTGTTGGACGCTTCTTAGACATTCGGAATCTTAGGCTCTACTCTTATTAAATCAGAATCTACACTTTAACAGATTCCAAGATTAATAGTTGCATTGAAGTTTGAGAAACACTGGCCTAAAATGCACTATGTATTCTGCAACATATATGTCTTCTCAAAGTATCAAATTTTAATTTTTACCTTTTGACAAGTGATTTTTTTTTTTTTTTTTTTTTTTTTTTGAGACAGAGGTCTTGCTCTGTTACCAGGCTGGAGTGCAGTGGCACGACCTCGGCTCCTCCACCTCCTGGGTTCAAGTGATTCTTCTGCCTCAGCTCCCGAGTAGCTGGACCACAGGCTCGCCCACCATGCCCACCTAATTTTTGTATTTTTAGTAGAGATGGGTTTCACTTTGTTGGCCAGGATGGTCTCGATCTCCCTGAACCTCCGTGGATCAGCCTGCCTCGGCCTCCACAAAGTGCTGAGATCTACAGACGTGAGTCCAGTGTGCTCGACCAAACACGTGATAATTTCTTTACGTTTCTATCTTTTCACCCTATCTCGTAGCTACTTTATGATTATTCAACTTTTGACTATTGATAAATTACGGACAGGCCATGTAGAAAGCTGATTCCCTCTCTGAGGGGCACCTTCGATTTAACAATAGTTAATAAATAAATACAAATAAAAGACAAAAGAAACAGCATGTGGACTAATTATTGAACATTTGGCAATAATTACAAACACAGGGGCAGAACGGAAGGTAGATATGAGGAATTAGTATAAGAAGTAACTGAAGCAAAATTTAGCACAGACATAACACACAGTGAAAATTCAGAAATTGGGCCGATAGGGTTAAAAAGTGGGAAAATGAGGGCAGAATATCAGCCTTGGAGATGTGGCAGAGATCAATACTTTTGGATGCCAGAGAGCCTGAGTTAAAACAATCAAAAACCAGCAGACTTGAGGTTTTATACAGAGGGAATGAGCGGCCTAACTAGTAAATAAACCATTGGCAGAGAGCATTTATGAATTCTGAACTTCCTTGGTCAATAAGCATGACTTAGAGTGAAAACAATACAAATTGAATCATCTCTAATTTGAAAATCTAAAATCCAAAATGCTCGCCCGCCAAAAACAAACAAAGAAAAGAAAAAAAAAAACACATTTTTGAGTCTGGAGACATGATACTCAAAGGAATACTCATTAGAGCATACATTATATTTTTATACTTTGATTAAGGATGCTCAATTGTGTAATAATGTACAATTCCACAACTCTTGAGAAAATCAAACCCTGAATAACTTCTAGTTCCCACATATTTACACCATAAGAGGTATTTAATCCATACCATATCATGGGATGTACAGCGTCAGGTTTTTTTGATACTAAATATTTCTTCTTAAAAACACTGCATGCTATGCTAAGGAGGCTTTTAAAGGTGGATGATAATTTCCTGCAACTACTCATGATGATTATTATTTTATAAATACCAGTTTTGTCTACTCTGATCCCTTTCTATTTCTTCAATGTTCCAAACTATGACTTACTTTACTCTTTGAGCTTCTCTAAATTTTTTCTTCCAGGTGAATACACTCGAATGACAGCTCATTTCCACTTGAAAAGAAAAATTGCGGTATTTTGTGCTTCACACATATCTGCTCTTGCTCATCTGTCATCTCTCCCAAGTTTCATTCTGGCATTAACAGAGAATTGTACCCTGCAAGAACTGTGTCTGGGTGAGTGGAATATACCACGCTTTTCCAGTAACAGCACATTATGCTTCATAGCAACTTTCAAAACACTATCTCTCATTGGATCCCTCAAAACAAATTCTTTGTAGTATAGGGTGGGCGAGTATTGTTTCTTGCCTTTCAGCTGAGGTAGTAGGCTTCAGGAGTGGTAACACATAGGTGCTATGCTGTTAATAAGGGATATAAGGAAAAAAGAGTACTCAGATATTCTGAAACAACGACTTAGACTTCTTTCTGTTAAATCATACTGCCTGTTTCTACATTTGTCTTACTTATTTATATATAGACGAATTTTCTTAGAAGTTTTGATTTACAGTCTCACTACCATCATTTCTAGGCTTTCTATATTTTTCTGTTGTTTTTAAGAATGCAGATGATGATCTTACAACTTTAAGTTAGAAACAGAGGTTAGAAAGGGAGGGAAAGAGAAGACCCTCATTCACTTTTGTTAGAGTGTTTGATTTTCTTGAATAAAACTAGGGAGGGAATTTTTTTAATTTAGAGTATAGAATTCCATATAGCTAGACTTTATATGTTTTGTTTTGGTTTTGTTTTGAGATGACTAAAATATATTAGTACCTTTAAATGAGACAGAGAGAAGCCTGGTGCAATGCTCTCATGCTCTAGTCCTACCAGGTGGAGGCCAAGACGGGAGGATCCCTTGCACCAGGAGTTGGAGACCATTCTGGGCAAATATGGCAAGACCTGTCCCTACAAAAAAAAAAAAAAAAAAAAAAAAAAAGTTAGCTAAGCTTGGTGGCACACCTATAGTTGCAGCTACTTGGGAGGCTGCAGCTACTTAGTTGCAGCTACAGGAGGATCGTTTGAACGTGGGAGATTGAGGCTGTAGTGAGCTGTGATCATGCGGTTGCACTCCAGCCTGAGTGACAGAGCAAGACCATGTCTCAAAAAAAAAAAAAAAAAGAAATTCCATGAGTTTATTTAATAACAAAATTCATTTTCTTGATTGAAACCATGCAGAGGAATTTGGTTACTGTTTTTTGGATATATAGATATATAAATTGGGCCAAGCACGTTTTGTAACAAAGTAGATTACCTTTGTGTGTTTGGTCCACTCTTTCATTTAGGAAAGTTTTATTGAGGACTTATTTTGTTAGATACTGCACCAGGCCCTAGAGATGCAAATATGACAAAATATAGTCAGTGAATTCAATTACTTGGTATAATGGATGGCACCGTATAACCAAGAAGGGTAATAAGGTAAAGATCTTATAAAAGAGGCATAGACAAGTTATCATAGAAAACAGCAACATGGATCCTTCCTAGAGCTGAGTAAGTGGCTGAGTTACCATTTGAACTGAGACTTGGAAGATGAGTTGGAGTTTCCCAGGCCGATGAGATGGGGCAAGAATCCTAGCTCAAAAGAATAGATTGTGCAGTGACATTAAGGGATGAAAGACAATGGTATGTTCATTGAAAGGGAGCTGTTTCGGTGGCAGTGGAGATATAGATAGAAAATAGTTTGAGGCCTAGATGAGAAGGGACTTATAGGTCATCGTAATAAAATGTACTTTTATCTTAACAGGTTATACCAAGTCACTATGGTGTTTTGGACCATAACATGTCTAAAGCTGTCAGAACAATGCCTAGCATTTAATAAATGGTATATAATTGTTAGCTATCCTTTTTCAAAACCACTTTGTTGAGGTTGATTGACATGTAAAAATCTGTACATATTTAATGTTGATTGACATGTAAAAATCTGTACATATTTAATCTAGTTGAAACAACTCTTTCAATTTGGGGAATAGAATACATCTGTGAAACTATCACCACCATCAAAGATATAGAAGTATTCATTACCTCCCCCAATTTTTCCCACCTCCTTTATTATTATTGAGTTGTGTGGAGGGAGGAAAGGTAAGGATACTTAACATAAGATGTACTCTCATCGCAAATTTTAAGAAGAAAATACATTGTTTTTAGCTGTAGCCACATGCTATATAGTAGATCTCCAGATCTAATTTATCTTGCTTAACTAAAGCTATTATTCTTATTATGAATCTGATCCTATTTGTACTTTAGAAAGATATGACATCTTTGCAGAGGATGAATTGAAAGACAGAAATTACAAGAGGTAGGGGAAAAGTTGAGAGGCTACTAACATAGTTCATATAAGAAATTTTTAGGTTATTTAAAAAGAAGAGAGTAGAAAAAAAGGAAGAAAGAAAAGAAAAGATGTTTGAGAGAGAATCAATGGATTCGGTGAAGATATATAACAATAATAGCAAAAAGAATAATTTAGGCTAACGTAGAATTTTTCTTGGATAATTTAGGTGGATAATGTTGCTATTAATAAAAGAAAACATGAAGAGAGAGGGCAAATAGGAAAACTGATTGTAGTTTGAGTTATGTGTATTTTGATTTTCCTTATACTATCAGTTTGATGTTCAGTAGACAATAGAAATAAGTATCTGGAACACAGATGAATAGTAGAAACTGTTGATAAATATGACAATCATTAGTGACAAGATGATAGAATTTGTAAGTCTAGAACTTATCTCCAAGAAAAATTAGGTGGGTGAATGTGAGATCAGAGGTTGGAATCTTTAAAAATCCTAAAATTGCAGAATAAAAACGATCTAATTGGAATGACCAGAAAATAAGGAAGGAAACCAGAGGATGACAATTTTCTAAAAGGAAAAGAGGTTAATTTCAACATCTCAAAATGCGCGTGCACGCGCGCGCGCGCGCACACACACACACACACACAGAGATCCATACTGAATATATGATATCAAATGTGCATCGATAAGTCTAAAATGCATTGAATCCATTTGGCTAGTAGAAGGTTACCGATCTTCAGGAATTAAATTAGTAAAGTTGCTTTGGACTGAAATAGGATTGAAATTGAAATAAGAAATAAGAAAGGAAAAAAGCTGAGTATATAATCAATTTGGAAGAAGAAAAAGATTAAGACAACTGTACAGAAAGGTGAGTCATTGTCATCATTATTATTATTGATACATAATTATTAACATGAAAATTTGAACAACATGGGGAACTACTTTATAAGAAGCCACATGCTATGCATGTTGCATACTTCCTTACTTATTGTTTTCCAACGAAGTAGATTATAATATGTCTTTTGTTTTCTTCTTTTTTTATAATGTCTCTTTTCTTAGGAGGAAAGAAATGAGGCTCTAAAATTTTAGGTATCTTGTCTAAGACCTTAAAGCAGAGCTTTACTCCAAGGCTTAAGTTCCTTAAATTACATATGCTGTTGTCATGACTCTCCTTTAAGCAGGAGGGATCAAGAAAGAGTAAGAAAATTGAACATTTGTATAGAAGAGGGGAGAATTTCAGATGAACAATTACCTAAAGAAAATACTTGGAATGTGGTTGGGTTGACCAAAAAATAAAAAAAAATAAAAAAGAAACCCAATTCTCCAACACGTAATAAGCAACGCAAAGCAAACTTTGTTGGTACTTTCCTCTGTCCAAATTTTTGTCTGGCTGTTTAACAAACACATGTTTTTTTTTCAATCTTAGAAGAACGTTTTATATTATTACATTATTGGGGAATAAGTTTGCTTAGAGACTATGTCACTAACTAGAAACATGATTCAAATGGTAAATAACCTCAAGGTATTATATTGAGTTAAAACTGCAACCTAGTTGTGTAAGATTAATAACAAAACCATTTAGCAGACTAGATTTGATGGGAAAATTTTAGAAAGAACTACACAAACACAACATGCATCAGAAATAAAGGAGTAAGAGGGGGAGTGAATGAAGAGGATAGTAAAAAGAGCAATTTTTAAAAAGTAAATGCACCTACATAAATTTCTTTTACATTTCAGGAATAAAAATTTTAAATCAGGATATGTCTGCCAAATCAAATTTAACTTAGGGTTACAAGCATTCGTTTGTTATTGCAATGTCACTCATGTTTCCTTTGTACTAATATTACACATGCTTATAATCTATTTATTCCATTTCATTACAGAATATTTGAAGCATTTCACATGGTGCTACATAAGTTGATTATTTTCCAAATAAATGCTTTGTTCAATATTTTTTGCTCAGTGAAAAAGAAGGTGATATTTTCATGACCTATAATTGAATTATGTAGAATATAATTTTAATATTAATAATTAGGATATATGATTCTAATAATCATATATATGTATAATGTATGATCTTTTAAAAACTGTACATTTAAGAAATAATATGCCCTCACTATATTTAGCAATTAAACTTAGGCATTATACTAGAATTTTATAGAAAATTCCAAGATAATTATAGTCTACAATTTTAGTTTATACACAATTTTCAATGTGTGGCACATACAATATATTAATACACTAATATCTTCACTTGTTAGTGTCCTAAATGTTTCTTAAAAAGCTCCCCTTTCCTTGTTCTCTTTTGGTGTTTTATAAATGTCTATATCATGGCAAAAATTAAATTTCATTATGGTAATTCTCTTTACACGGATTTCTCATTCTCCAGTCAGAGAGTTTCTACACACAGTTATTAACATAGAGCTTAGGACATTTTAAGTGCTATAAAATATATGATAAATAAATGACAGATAAGTTGGTGGAGGGACAATAAAGTGATCTATAGCAATGGACAATCTCTCCAAATTAAACTCTCCAAATGAACAATATCAAAAAATTAGAACAAGTTCAATTCTAAGCATCATCATATGTGTTTCCACTATTGTGAGTACAATAAAACAAAACAAAGCCCACATACACCCATACATATACAGAACTATAAAGATTGTCTCTGTAAGAAAAACACATATTAAGAGTTTTAAAAGAACACATAGGAAATATAAGCAAAGAACATTAATAAAATGATGAGCACAATTACAAAGAGATAATCTTGGAATAATAAAATTGAGAAACAAGAAAACAGAAGAGACAGTGAAAGAAAAAAATTACAACG